GAATGAAATAACAGCTGCCTTCAGAGGACTCTCCACTAATGCACAGCAGCTTCCTGTTAGTGCCTGCACTGAGAATCCTCAAATACAGAGACAAGTCACTTTGTCCACGCTCCCTGAGACCCTCAAGCCCACTAATGCCTAGGTGAATAATATTGACTTGTGTTAGTTTTACTTAAACTTACTTACATTAAGTGATCATAATATGACAGTGATAACTTCTATGTTTATGCATTGCAAATACTTAATTATTTTTTGTTAGTTCTACACCTCTCTTTATCCGCTCTCCAAGCCTCCAAGGGCGGACTCCTGAGGTCCGTAATGCCCCCCTAACATGACACTTAGACTATTTACATCATCTAGGGAAGCACACCAGTAAATGTAGCCTCATGTAACTTCATATAGGGATTCTTTAATAGTTGTGTGAAGTAGTTAAACAATAAGGGGGTAATAAGATCTTTAAATTATAATTTTCCTCTCAAAGAGACTTCGTTGTACACACACACACACAAACAAAACAACATTAAATAATGACATGATATTATAGTGATAACACATAATGTGTAGAAAGAGATGTCCTGTATGGGTTGATTGCGCGTTGATCTGTTGGTAAAATGCTCATCTATCATTTTCAACCAAGCAGTATGAGGTCAAATTTAATAAGTAATAGTTTGTCACGATTTTACGGGAAAAAGTCAGAGCGCAATGTCACATCTTAAAGACAGCTTGAACTGGATAGATGGTTAGTCTTTTTTCAAAACATACCATATGTTCTGCATGTTAGTATATTTGGCCAAATCGGGTTAGGCCCTACTGCCCCACTCCCCCAATAGGGAAGTCACGCTTTGAGAAGAGGTGTTTAATTTCACAGATCTGACTTGATGTGATGGCTGAAGTAATAGGGACGGGGGAGGAAAATTCAGGGGTGAAGAAGCAGAAAGATAACTTGTTTGTAAAACGGACAGCACTTCAGTTTCAGGAAAGATGACACATATAACTTCATATAGGGATTATTTTATTAGTGGATTTGATGTAATTAAACATAAAGAAAACAACCAAACGCCATGGGGTCATTAAGATCTTTAATTTATTGCCAACCTCTTCAGAGAGACTTTGTTGCATTTATTACCAGATTACCCCTCCTTTCAACAAAGAGAGGCCCTTATAGTTAGTATAGTAATTAAACATTAGTTCACCATCCGTACACTTCAAGAGAGCCTCCTTAGTTATTAACCCAACTCTTATTTAAAAAAAAAAGGCGGGGTAGGAGGGGAATACGGGTATGGGTGTGTGTGTGTGTGTGTGTGTGTGTGTGTGTGTGTGTGTGTGTGTGTGTGTGTGTGTGTGTGTGTGGATGGAAATCTCTCCGGCCAGAATGATATCCCCTTTAGCGCAATACCGCATCAGTTGCACCTCTTATGTGACATACAAGAATAGTGTGTGACAGACAAAAGATGTCCTATAGGGGCTGATTATGCATGGACATAAACGCTAGTAACGTCTAATCTGACGGGGGATACCCGCTGTTGCTGACGGAGGGAGACCCCGGTGCTGCGGACTATTCGACATGCATCTCTGCATGCGGTGAGCGGAACAAAACACACTCGTAGATAACACACGTAGCTATTTTAATTACCTCTCAAACTACCTAAACTAGTTAAAGTTTGTTTTAGTTTTACTGTCGAGTCACTCATTATTGGACCCGCGAGCTGCATGATACTGGCGTGTTGTCAGGAGGGGGGAGAGCAGTCCGTTTATTATTCCCGTGTTATTGTAAATTACTGTACACGTTTTGAATAGTTAATTAATCTACTATAACTAGTTGGTTTAATATCGAATCATATCAGTTTGTTTCAAAGCTCATTAAATAACATAGAAGACCTTTAGCCGGCACTTTTCTAATTTTGCCACGGAAGATTTAAACTGTAACGAACATGCCGACCGGACAGGAGGGGGGAGGAGGAGGGGGTTGAGAGGGGTGGGGGCTGAGGAGGGGATGGGGGGCGACAGGGAGGATGTGAAACCTGCTGTAAGGAGGGGGTGGTTGAGAGGGGTTGGGGCTGAGCGGGGTGGGGGGGCTACCTGAGAGGATGTAACACCTGTATGTGAGGGGGAGGGGGGTGGGCTGAGGGGGGTGGGGGCTACCGGTGAGGATGTAACACCTGTACGCGATAACACCTCGAACAAAGGGGCTCATTAGCATATCAAAGGGGGGTCATTAACATAATTAGGGGGCGGGACTTAGAAGGTGTGACCTGTCACTTTTTTATGCATACTAATGAGATTGAAGCGGGATATGTAATACTACTCATATTTGTTTTCCGTTTAAAACTGCTGCACCTGCAAACACAACCCGCTTTCTGTGCATGGATCGCTGTGCATTCATGTGTGGATTTTTTGAGACTCCCCTGACGGTCACTCGATTCGTACTTGTACTTTTTTCTATCTATAGCCGATCAGATGTCTCCTCAATTCTAAGCCAAACACATAAGCGCGCCCCCACGAGGGTATGATTTATTGTGTTCTCAGGACACCTCCACTCTCAGTACATTGTCACTTTCCGAACAGGAAATGCACGTAAATACAATCTTTAATATTATTAAGGTACAGCGCCACTTTCCGAACCATGCTTGTGTACACAAAAACGGCAGGCAAAACCGTTTTAAATGTGTGTTTCCTGTATGGCGAATAGAGCTGCTTTATTTATGTCTGTATGAATTTGTTGTGAGTGTGGAGGGAGCAGCTACAGGTTAGCTCAGCCTGATCGATTAGTGGCCTGTACTACGAAGCCAGTTCAACAGACCCTGGATATCTCTGAGTTATCTGGCTTAACTAACCCTAACAAGCCGTCCTACGACGCTGGTTATCAACTCAGTAAATCAACCCAGGGTTTCTCTGTCCGGCCGAGAGTGCGTTCACATGAAAGGGGCGGGGTTAGCAACATTTGACCAATCACAAACAGGGACAAGCGTACTGACAGCGCAGAGGCATACTTCATGAATGAAAAGTAAACTATAATATTAGAGAAATATGAAGAAGTTAAACTTTAAACATCCATTACTTAAACACTTAATCCAGGGGCGGACTGGCCATCTGTGTGTTCTGGAGAATCACAGAACGGCCGGTCGTCAGCGGGCCGCTGACAGCCGGTGTTGTGTCAAATGATGCACCCCCGTCGTGAAATGCACCCCCTGGCCTGCCGCAAAAAGCACCCCCCCCAAAAAAGATGCTTCTATTAATCCCACCCTCAAGCACTTGATGTAAAAATAAACAATACATTGTAAAGCACAAGTACAAGCACAAGTATTCAGACAGGACGTCACAATTAAATAAAAACATATATTAAATACAAAATTAACTGAAAAATAAGTGACGAATGAATGCAAAATCCAGGATACGACAACCCAACCATCAAAAATAGAATAGAATAGCGGACTATACGTTCAAATTGTAATCCCTGTAATTTTTGCTGTATGATGTCCTTTTGTTGTTCTGTTGTTTATGTTTTTAAGTCTTCATGTGGAACCTACTGCTGCAGGTCTCCCTTGAAAAAGAGATCAATGATCTCATTGGGATTTCACCTGGATAAATAAAGGTTTTGAATTTGAATTTGAAATGCGCGTTCCCGTGTCAAGGGGTGCATTTCACGACGGGGGTGCATAATTTGACACAACACCGGCACCGCCCTTTATTTTAGGGCACGTGTGCACGGCCAGATACGGCTCGAGAAGCTGACTCAGATGAATGAGGCGAGTAAAGACAGCTGACAGCAGCCGTGAAACTCGAGCGATTATTCGCATCACGTCCGTCGTGAACGCACCATTATTACAAGTATTATATAATTATAAAATAAAATCGCCACTCTCAGTACAGCGCCACTTTCCGAACAGGAAATGCACGCAAATACAATATTTATATATTATTATTATTATTATTATTATTATTATTATTATTATTATTATTATTATTATTATTATTATTAATAATATATATAAATAAAGACATCTTGTATTTTAGTTACACCCGCTATTGATTAATTTTGTCAACATTGGACCTTGACACCGTCCACATAGCTATAGTGAAATATTATAAGAGAAAACATTAAGCCTCTTTGATTTAATAATCGGAGCTGAAACCTCTCTGCCATCTCATATAACACACACTTCCTTATTTATCTTTGAATAATAATAACATAAAAATAAAGACGACTACACTACGGTGCTTCGGTCCTGAGATTAGCGCCTGCAGGCAGGCTCCATGGACCTGTCAGCATGGACAGCGCAAAAAGCGTATATGAAGTGCTACGTCACGAACGCAAGAAATCATACCCTCGTGGGGGCGCACTCATGTGATTGGCTTAGAATGGGGAGGCTGTGGCGCAGTGGGATAGTGCATTAGTGTTCGGAACAGGTTCAAACCCCGCTGCACTCAGCCTGTCGTTTTGTCCCTGGGCAAGACACTTCACCCCAAATTGCTCCTGTGGGGATTGTCCACAGTATTGAGTATGTAAGTCGCTTTGGATAAAAGCGTCAAACAAGTAACATGTCATGTAATGGAGGAGACATCTGATTGGCTATAGATAGAACAAATTACAAGTACGAATCGGGTCACCGTCAGGGGAGTCTCAAAAAACCCACACACGAATGCACAGCGATCCAAGCACAGAAAGCGGGTTGTGTTTGCAGGTGCAGCAGTTTTAAACGGAAAACAAATATGTGTGGATCAAAAATACATATGTAAAACTTTTTTCTGTATTTGGATTTTATTTACATGTATATCAAACGGAACACATGCTACACAACCCTCTGAACAACACAACCCTCTGAACCGTGTGTTGGTAGCTTGGCACGCTACTTCCCTGGAACCGTTGCTGCTTCCAGTGTTTCCTCCTGAAGTCTTTGATCACTACCCAGTCGCAGGGCTTGAAGTGGTGTTGTGGCGCATCAGCTGGCGTCTGCAGTACGGCTTTCACCTGAGAGTGGATAGCTGAGAGGGAGACTGAAAGATTTATACAGTAGTTCAACAAAAGGTAACTTAAATTGTCTCAACTTTCAGAAACTAACATTACATTAACAGAATAATATTCTTTAAATCTGTGCCAGTTCGTCTTGTGCCTTGGGCCATCAAGAGAGCCAGCTTTTCACGCCAACAAATATTTGTAGCTGCTTTCACAATGATGACATGCTATTCTCTTTTTATTAACCAGTAAAATAGATCTTTACAGGATCAGAATATTTTGAATATTATTAATCTTTATGGCTTTGTAAGATTATATGTCTCTATTTAACACAATGGACATGATTATCACACTTGTTTCAGTCTTAAATCTGTATTGTCACTGTGCTTTTTAATATGGTCATATCAATAAAGTTAGTATTTCCTGATATTCTTCTTTTTGTTTTATATATAAAATGATGTGTGACTTCCTCAAATGATGTGTGACTTCCTCAAAAATATAAAGCATTTATAAATTCAAACCAGCAACCACACTTTCCCTAGTCACATACTTCAGGATACTTGCTGCAGAGCTGACCTTCTAGGAAAGAGTTGGCATTCCCATGAGCAATGGAGAAAATCTATGACAATGCTGTTGATGTCAAAACCCTAAGCTCAAGATCACCAACAATACAAGAAGGTAAGAGTGTCAGTCAGAGTGCACTGTGGATTTTGGATTTACTGTATTACTCCCTGGTCTTCTCTGTGTTCAGGTCCCAGGAGACTTCTCAGAGCATCTGTTCTCGGTCTGGGGCTGCTGAGTGTTTTCCTGCTGGCTGGACTCATCGGCCTTGCTGTCCACTGTGAGTCTTTCTTTTAATACGTTTAATAATGTCATTTTGTACGTGTGATTTTCAAGAGCAACATTCTGCTCTGAAAGATGCACATTCTACCAAAACATCTATAGTTTTTCTACTTTTCTCCTAGGGCCAAATTAGGAAAACATTGACTTTGGTTTCTGTCAGTATGATTGCATCAGGTAATTTAAGAAACATCTATTTTCATTTCAGACCATAACTCAGTAGGTGGTGCAGCTGAGCGTCTCCAGGCCAGCGATCAGCTGATCAACCAGCTGAAGGCCAACCTCACTGAAAAGACCAGAGAGGTGGACAGGCTTCAGTGTTTGATGGGCAAGGGTCAGTGCTTCATGTGGGGGTTTGCATAGGGCTCGGTGTGTGTATGTAAGATATCTATTATCATAATATCTTTTACAAAATACCTTGATATTGATATTCTATAAGGCTGACTATTGATCCTTTCATAAAATAGTTACAGAAAGACACTTTTCATTAATGATAATTAAGAATTAGTTTTTAATGACTTAGTTGTGAGTGATTTAATTTATAGTTTGTTTTATTTTACTTCACCCACCATATTTATATTTCTCTGTAAACTATGCTTATGGCCAGTTTCCTTGTCTAAATTACTTTTAATATAAGCAATAGGAAGAAAAACTTAGAGGTAGTTTGTTCCAGATATTTGCAGCATAATAATAATAATAATAATAATAATAATAATAATAATAATAATAATAATAATAATAATAATAATAATAATAATAATAATAATAATAATAATAATAAAGGATAACAATGTTTCAAACCAATTTAGAACTGTTGCCGAAAGTCAGACCCAGTTTTCCAGTCGGTCTAGTAACTAACACCGAGATGTTGCCACTGTCTGTGTTTAAGTGGATGTCATTGAAGACTTTAACAAGATCAGTCTCAGTGCTGTGGTGCCTGACTAGATCACATCCAAACAGTTATTTAAATCCCAAAAAAAGAGAAGTAGTTGTTCTGCAATGAAATGTGTGATCTCTTTTGATCCCTCTAAAAATGCTTGATAAATATGTGTTTTCATTATTATTACAAAAGTGACATATAATGCACTCAAGAGTTTCATATTTCAGCAGTTAAAGCAGTAAATCAACAAGGTGTTAAAACTTGTCCTGCAGGATGGAGGAAGTTTGGTAGTTCCTTTTATCTCCTCTCTACTGAGCATGCTTCTTGGGAACAAAGCAAACAAGACTGCACAGCCAGAGGAGCAGATCTGGTGATCGTAGACAGTGAGGAAGAACAGGTAATGTGTGCTGCTTAAACACTTGTGATTGTATAACCCCCTGCTTTTATCACTCAATAATGTTTTTATTGTACATATACTAGCAAATGTGTCTATCAGCTATAATGATTACGTCACAACAATGGTGTTGATTACATATTTCTGAGCTAATAAAAAGGGAAAAGTTATCTGAATGTTGATGTCCATCCCAGTAAACTGCATTTTTAATATGTGAACAGGAATTCATAACTAGCATGATCAAGGAAGACACTTGGATTGGTTTGAGTGACAGAGAAGAGGGGGGGACCTGGAAATGGGTGGATGGATCTCCACTGACCCTGACGGAAGGCTTTACTTTGGTTTTAAATAAAGACGCTGGTTTATGTTGTGACCTTTCTAAATGTTTCACATGTTTCTGTAATGGGAGTTAACACAACACACAGGATGCATTTAAACGTAGGGTGTCTGCCCCTTTCACCAGAAGATTCATTTGGGTATTAAGAAAAGAACATGGCTGTATTACTTATAGTTATTTATATTTGATGTCCAATCTTTTAGTTCATCTTGTTTTCCTGTAATACCTGTTAGGTTTTGGATAGAAGGAGAGCCTGATAATGGAGGAGGGGGGTTTGAAGAGGACTGTGTAAACATCAATCCCTCCACCGGGTGGAACGGCTGGTCCTGTTGGAACTATCTGCCTTGGATCTGTGAGAAAGAAGCTTAACATTGGTGTCTGTTTGGATACTAAACATGCAATCATGCTTTTACAATTTAGTTTAAATCGAGTTATTTAAAACTATACAAAATGCCTGATTTCATGAATAAGAATTACTTTGCTCGAATTGATGAATCACAATTTGTTTAGTGTTTTTGTTTAGGATTAATATTAGTAATAAATAATTAGTCATTTAATTAGTTTTTGCCAACTTTTGTTTGCCTCAATTAAATTAGTATTTGTATTAATCCTTTTACATATCTTATGCAACGTTCTTATGAACTGGAAAGTCAGAAAGCCCAACTGCTTCAATTGAAATAGATGGCTGGAGGACTTCCTAAAACATCTGAAGAATGGAAGAAGCTGCTTTCTCCCTGTTATATTTGGTTAAGCCAGACAACAGGCTCTGGGATAAGATAAGGGCTTTCCTGAGGCCTGTACTACGAAGCTGGATTTTCGCTTAGCCGGCTAACTTCAGGGAAATCTCGGGCTTTCCGGTCCTACGGCGCTGGTTCTCTTTTTAGCAGGCTAGATTTCCATGGTAACTTATGCTGAGCGGCAAACCTGCTCCGGAGCAGGTTAGGTGGCAGGCTAAGAGATCAACTCAGTGAAAGCACCGCCTGCTGACCAATCAGAGCTCCGTGTGCGGAGTTTAAAGCGATCAATTCATATTACAGGATAGAGGAAATACAGAAAAACTGCCGTTGCAGGAAAGACGGCCGGCAAAAATCAACTGACTGTGTGAACGTGAAAATTAATAGAATATCCCCTCCCATCTTCAGAGCAATCTGACTATTATAATATTAGCGTTAAGAAAGCTTACTTAAATATCTGCCACGACATAAGTAACTGGATCAGAGTAACATTAAGTACAGTCCGCGGCACTGTGTGTGCAGACGTCGATGTGTCCCATTATCATTCATATCATATCACATCATAATGTATCATATATTTCCTTATTTGAGTCAGCTTCTTGAGCCGTATCTGGCCGTGCAACACTCACAGTGTCACATACTGTATGCAGAAGTATTATTTTAAGCAACACATTAAGTTGATGAAACACTCGAGTCAAATGTAATTAAAGTCAGATCCACTCGTGTCTTGGACGGGGCAGTGATTTCATAAACCTGTTAATGTACGCATTCAAACACTTTTTCTTTTACCAGCTGTATTCACCTTGCAGGTGCAGCTATGTGGCTTTTATCCTGGATAAAGTGTTTAAGTCATGGATGTTTAAAGTTTAACTTCTTCATATTTGACTAATATTAAAGTTCACTTTTCATTCAGGAAGTATGACGCTGCGCTGTCAGTACGCTTGTCCATGTTTGAGATTGGTCGAATGCTCCAAATACCACCCCTTTCATGTGAACGCGCACCTAACTATATAGGACACGGCTGGCTTGAGCGATCCACTTGATAACAAGCGTCGTAGTACAGTTTAGCCAGAGCGCGTATGTTTTGGATTGGGCCAACCGGCTAACTCAAACATATCCAGGTTAGGTTGAACCAGCTTCGTAGTACAGGCCTCTGGACTCAAACCATCTCGGCTGCCAATAGAAAATATAATAATTATAATAATATTAATGAATACATAAAGAGAAATAAGCTATGAAGAAACAGAAAAATAATGGTAATAATAATGAAAGAAGTGAAATTAAATGGGAAATGTATTTATTTGACAATTTATCTATTTATTTATCTATGATAAATGTTTTGTTTTATAATAATAATGAGGAAACAATGAAGTATATCTATATTATGAAGCAAATCATGTATAAATACAACGCCATATGCATACATAAAATGTAACTGACACTGTAATCCCCCTACCCCCCCACCCTTCATGTTATTGTCCTGTTCTGTTTGTGATGTGTTTGAGCCATGTCATTGTCCTTATGTTTTTGTCTTTGAAAATGTCTAATAAAATATAAATGTTAAATCCTTTTACATATCAACATAAAAACAGCTTATTAAAAACATCTGCTGATAAGCCCACAGTTCCTGAAAGTTATAATATTGAAGGTGCCTTATTGAGCAGAATATGATAAAAATAAAAACTGTCAAACATTAATAAATAATTCAGACATATACAACAATACTCTAGTCTCAGCATTGGTCTAACTTGTTCAAATGTGTAAAATAGCCTGTGTGTTATACAGTATGTTTCCTAACAATGACCTCTTGTGGCCATGTGAGTACAGATCTATTGCAGGTATTTAACATTCATAGGTACCAGCCACTGTTTACATACTATAAGAACTAGTGCTGTCAATGAATACAAAAATGTATGTATGTTCATCACAATAATATTCTGGGACTTTAATTGCAGGATTTGCTCATGTTTCATTTAAAAAGTAAACTGCCTTTTATTTGAAGTTAATTACAGAACTTTAGTAAATGGGCAAATTAGATATAGCTAGATCAGGAAATGGCAACTTTCTTTGAGCATGCATACAAAGATAAAAACCGTAAAATTAGATTGTGGGTATATTACATGTTCTCTGACAAGATAAAGCTCTTCCACTTCAACAAACTGCTGTTATCAGATAAAAAGCAGCTTTACCACTTCACCTTTTTTCTCAAAGTGAACAACTCCTCCCTGAAAGTTATCTTTGAAATGATGTGCACTTTTTATATTTATGATCAGCGGCAGACAGAGTACTTCAGAGGAAAGACATTTGTGTTTATCAGCATTTCAAATTAAGATCCCTGCTTTCACAACAATGTCATGCTATTCTCTTTTTATTAACCAGTAAAACAGATCTATACAGGATCAATACATTTAGAATATTATTAATCTTTATGGCTTTGTAAGATGATATGTCTCTATTTAACACAATGGACTTGATTATCTCACTTGTTTCAGTCTTAAATCTGTATTGTCAATGTGCTTTGGCAATAGTATGTTTTTAATATGGGCATGTCAATAAAGCTTATTTGAATTTGTCTTGACTCTCAACTCTTGTTCTGTTGTCACATGTGTTATCATTATTTTCAGTTTACCCGTGCAGGGTTAAGTATGGATGCACTGTTGGGAAATACAAGAAAGGTGATACAAATTATGTACACAGGTTTAGAAGCTCTAAAAGGTGCATTTTTGAGAAGTGATTGGAGAACTATGTGTAAAGGAGAGTTGTTACAACACATAAAACACCAGAATTTAAACTATGAACATTAATATAATTTCACTAATAGTTAATGGTGGGGTAGGTAAGTTTGAGAAACCGGCTCGAGATACACTTTTTGTTATATTCCATGGAATGCTCTTAACATCCTGATAGCAATGAATATCTTAAGTGCTTTGACAAAAAATCCATAAAAAAATGTCATCTGTGGAAGCCGTAATACTGTAAAAAGCACGACCAATCATTTTAGCCGGCCCGGCTAAAATAACTGGATGGCCTACCTGCCTGTCAGCCTTCCATCTGTGCACAAACTTATCTCGTGCCCTCATTGGTCATGTGCACGTTCGTGTGTGTTGGAGGAGGGGCTCTGTAAGGAAGTGGCAGATTTGTTCCGGCTGTGTATTTTCAAATTCTAGCGCACTCGAGCTGGTTTCTCCAAAATTACCTACCCCACCTTTAATGGCCTAAACAACCCAATTAAAAAGTACTTATACAAATGAAACATCAAGGTGGAGATATTGTATTTATGCAAGAAACACATCTGTCAAAAGTACTGTGTGCGTGTGTGTGTGGTGTTGTGTGTGTGTGTGTGTGTGGTGTGTGTGGTGTGTGTGTGTGTGTGTGTGTGTGTGTGTGTGTGTGTGCGTGTGTGTGTGTGTGTGTGTGTGTGTGTGTTTGTTTTCTTTTATGTTTCTGCTCCAGGTTGCAACATTGTTGATAAATTCAAGCACCGACACCTGTCTGCTCTCAAATTCCCGCATTATGTCTTGCGGGAACCAATGAAGTCCAGGGCAAATAATTGCAAGTCTCTTCGGTGGCATGTCACACAACGAGGTGCATTGTAGGACATGTAGTTTATGGGCAACCTGCTTCTGTAAAGTGGCAGTAACCGTATAATAAACGTTTTATATTCTTTGCAAGCTCTTGCGGGGCCACATAAAATGAAGTCGCGGGCCGGATTTGGCCCCCGGGCCTTGAGTTTGAGACCCCTGCATTAACCCATTGAGTTACAGGATACAGAGCCCTTTAACAGTAAATACAGTGTTTTCATAATTACATTAGTTCAAGGGGGGCAAAGAAGGAAGAAAAAAAAAAGCACAGAGATAAACACAAAGAAAGCAAATAATAATAATGATAATGGAATAGAAAGAGAAAAATTATGAATCAATAATATATAAATATATATTAAATGCTCACGGCTCACCGCTCAATCCAACCTTATTCTTTATCAAGTGGATCTTGTAAGGAGTCATAAAAGTCCAGAAAGGGTTTCCATGTTCTAATAAAGGTGTTAGAGGAGCCCCTGAGTAAGAACTTAATTTTCTCTAACTGTAAGAAGTACATAACTTATTTGACCCACTGAGAAAAGGATAGAGGGGAATGTTGCTTCCATTTTAGAAGAATCAAACGTCTCGCAAGAAGTGTAGAAAAGGCTATAACTACATGGGCACTGTTTGGTAGGGTCTGGGTGATTTTTGGAGACTAGCTGTCACTCTATCCAGAGTGGCAACCTGTTTTCATATCGACTTTCTTCTTCTTCCTCCAGGCCTGAGCGTTGGGAGGAGGTGAAGAGGGCGGTGGACTGGGTCTGCTGGGCGGACCGGCAGTACCCGTGTGTCTACAGCCGGCTGGAGTTTGGATTCAGCTGGGAGTCCTCCACCCGCCAGCTGCTGGGCTTCAAAGGCCTCCCTCCCTTCTCCGCTCTCAGGGGACTGAACCTGCAGAAGACCGTCCCCCAGGTTCTGGTCCACTGAGCAGGATAGTGAGAGGGAGGTTCATACCCCTTTGTCTTTTTATGGGGATTACATCATCTATTGGATGTATTTGTAGCCCTTTTATTGTCAGTGTGTTTACATGTTCTCAAATAGGTAGATACAATTGGCTTACTGCAGACCTGATTTATTAAACTTAAACTGCTTTGGGTCTACATATCGCCTTTTCTGCACGTCAGCATCTTTTTTCAAATGTATTCCAATAAGGCGATAGCTTATACTGTTTTACACCGTGGTCTTCAGAGAAAGAGTTGCACCCCTCGTCTTTCTTCTGACCGTTCCACCTTTTTGGTCAAGTTGAAAATATTTAAACTTTCCAGAAAAACGCTGTTGACGTCACTGAAGGAAATGACTGTCTCACTGTCAGACAGTAACCATCATAACAAAGACCAAAGAGTCTGTTTGTTGGAGCAGATCTGCCAGTGAGTGTGTGGCTTTTATCGTACCGTACACATATCATCCTCCTCACTCTAAGGCTGTCAGACTAAAGCTGTGACGCTCAATCACACAAAATGTGAGAACAAGCATCCTCCTGTTTGTTCTCATAGACACAATGTCAAACAAATACATAGCACAAATCGATAATAAAAACCAAGGGGTG